AAACAATAAATGTAATTAAATACATCAACAGATGTCAAAAAAACCCACATGATTATATCATTAGATGCAGAAAAAGCTTTTGATATAATCCAGACCCCTTCTTGATAAAAATCCTCAAACATCTAGGCCTACAGGAAAAGTAGTAAAAGCCATCTACGAGAAACCCACAGCCAGCATACTCCTAAACAGACAAAAATTGGAACCATTTCCCCTGAAAACTGGAATAAGACAAGGATGCCCACTCTCACCCCTCCTGTTCAATATAGTATTGGAAGTCCTGGCTAGAGCAATCAGAGGTATACAAATAGGAAAAGAGGAAGTCAAATTATCTCTCTTTGCAGATGACATGATCGTGTACCTTGAAAATCCAAGAGAATCTGTCAAAAACCTCCTTACACCAATAAAGGCCTTTGGCAAAGTCTCAGGATATAAAATAAATGTGCAAAATACAATCGCATTTCTTTACACCAATAATAAACAAACAGAAACCCAAATAAGAAGCACAATTCCATTCACAACAGCCACAAAAAAAAAAATGAAATACCTTGGCATCTTCCTAACCAGAGATGTGAAAGACCTTTACAATGAAAACTACAAAACTCTGCTCAAAGAAATCAAAGATGACACAAACAAGTGGAAAAATATCCCATGCTCATGGATTCGAAGAATCAACATTGTGAAGATGTCCATCTTACCTAAGGCAATCTACAGATTCAATGCAATACCTATCGAATTACCAGCAACATTCTTCTCAGACCTAGAAAAAACAACACAGGAATTCATATGGAAACACAAACGACCAAGAATAGCCTGGACAATCCTCAGCAAAAAAAAACCAAAGCAGGTGGTATCACATTACCAGACTTCAAACTTTACTATAAAGCTACAATCATCAAAACAGTTTGGTACTGGTATAGAAACAGGCATATAGATCAATAGAATAGAATTGAGATTCTAGAAGCAAAATCTCAATTTCTTCATCAACTTATCTTTGACAAAACCTCCACCACCTACCACTGGGGAGAGGAGAACCTATTCAGTAAATGGTGATGGGAAAACTGGCTGACCACATGCAGAAGATTGAAACAGGACCCCTATCTATCCCCATACACAAAAATTAACTCCAAATGGATCAGAAACCTAAATGTAAAACCTCAGACCATAAGAACCTTAGAAAATGAAGGACATACCCTCATGGAAATCAGAACTGGCATCCAATTCCTGAACAAAACCGAAACCCACAGGTCATAAGAGAGAAGATAGACAAGTGGGACCTTATTAAGCTGACAAGCTTCTACAAGGCCAAAGAAACCATCAAGAGAGCAGAGAGACAGCCTACAGACTGGGGAAAAAGTATTTGCCAACTCCAGGTCTGACAAAGGCTTAACACCTTGGATCTACAAGGAACTCAAACGTGCTGAAAAGAAAAAAAACAAACAACCCCATTATAAAATGGGCAAAAGATATGAACAGACACTTCACAAAGGAAGACATTTAAGCAACCAACAGACACATGAAGAAATGCTCAACCTCACTGATCATCTGGGAGATGCAAATCAAAACCACACTGAGATACCACCTAACTCCAGTCAGAATGGCAATTATCCATAACTCAAAAAATAACAGTTGTTGGAGAGGGTGTGCTGTAAAGGAAACACTTCTATACTGTTGGTGGGTGTGTAGACTAGTGCAACCTCTGTGGAAAGCAGTGTGGCGATTCCTAAAAACTCTAAACATCAACCTCCCATATGACCCTGCAATCCTCCTACTGGGAATATACGCTGAAGAACCCAAATCACTCTATAAAAAAGATACCTGCACAAGAATGTTTATCGCAGCATTGTTCACAATAGAAAGAACCTGGAAGCAACCATGCTGTCCATCAAAAGAGGACTGGATTAAAAAAATGTGGTACATATAGACGATAGAACACTATACAGCCATAAAAAAGAACAAAATCATGAATTTCGCAGCAACCTGGATGGAACTGGAGTCTATAATACTGAGTGACCTCTCACAGAAACAAAGATCTGAGTATCACATGTTCTCACTCACATAGTGGATCTTGATCATCCAATGCACTACCATAATAAAATGACTGACAGTGATGGGAAGCTATGGGGAGGCGGAAGGGGGATGGGACTAATGGTAGTAAACATTTGTCTGAGGACGGGGAGACACCTGTTATCAACAAAGGGGCCTGAATGAAGCATATTTGTATACCTAACCCTTAATTGTACCCCATAATATCATAATAAAAAATATTGATTTAAAAAAAAAATCACATTGCTAACATCACCACTGTGACCCCAGCTTTATTTTTCTTTGTTTTTATGGTATATGTTTTTCCACTGTTTTTTTCTTACTTCTCTGTGTCTTTATTTAAATCTCACCTCATATAAGCAGGATTCAGTTATGTTTTTAAAAATATATGACAATACAGGCCAGATAGGGTGCTCATGCCTGTAATCTCTGTACTCTGGGTGGCCAAAGCAAGAGGACTGCTTGAACCCCGGAGAGTTCAATACCAGCCTGGGCAACATAACCAGACCTTGTCTCTACAAAAATAAAAAACACAAAAATTAGCCAGGCATAGTGGCATGAGTCTGTAGTCCCAGGTACTCAGGATTCTGAGACTGAAGGATCATCTGAGCTTAGTAGGTTGAGGCCAGTAAGCCATGATCATGCTACTGTACTCCAGTCTGGGTGACAGAGTGAGACCTTGACATGGAAAAAAAAAAGTATACACACACACACACACAACACACCTCCCAACAGGACAGTCTTTGCCATCTGGGTTAGATCTGCCATCTTACCCTATTTGCATTCTTGTTCATGTGGCCAAGAATGAAATGGGTGTTGGGCGGAGTGGCTAGCTCTAATATCCAAGCCTGCCCCTATTTTTATTCCAGACCACCACTCACCATGTAGCTCCTTTTGTACCAAAAAACACAGATTTCTCTGGTTCATTTTGGTGAAGATACTGTAAGTCACGTCCCAAGCTCGTCGTCCAGGGAAATGCTCTATCAAGAAGTGAACTACTTCTGCCCAGTTGGCTGCCCTCAGCTGGTCCCAGGTGGTGTGGGCAGAGCTGGGGTGAAACTCGTTCACTAACCACTGTTTGAACCTTGGCAGCTCTTCCTTGTGGATGGATGACATGTACAACATGACTCCATTTTCACAAGGGGAGCAGGGACGGCAAGAGAGAGCCGAGGAAGGAACACAAGATGTATAAGTGGAGAAGGGAGAGGGGGAGTCAGAGCTTGGATTCGCATTACTCATCTTTGCTGGATGCCAAGAATGCATCGGCGTCCGTGATACAGGGAGAGAGCAGACAGCACCTGTGGAGACATACAACAAGAGGATGAAGGCACCACCAAAGATGACAGCCTTGTTGAATATGAATTTGGTGGAGCATGATGTGTGGCAGATTCTCTCTTTACTTCCTTTCCTCAAAGATTCTCTGTCCTGTGGAAAGGTGTGGAATGTCTGGGATTACTCCTTTTTTTTTTGAGTTGGGGTCTCACTCTGTTGCCCAGACTGGAATGTCACGATCACGACCACCACAGTCTTGACTTCCTGGGCTCAGACCATCCTTCTGCCTCAGCCTCCAAAGTAGCTGGGACTGCAGGCATGTGCCACCACATCCATCTAGTTTTAAAATTTTTTGTAAAGATGAGGTCTCGCTATGTTGCCTAGGCTGGTCTTGAATGCCTGGGCTCAAGCAATTCTCTCAAAGTGCTGGGATTACAGGTGTGAGCCACCGTGTCTGGCTTGGGATTAGTCTTTAGATGCATATCCACTCTGTAATTTTTATTTCTACACCCCCTTTTAGAGAAGAGTCAAGCAAAATGTCAAGGAAATCAGGACGTAAGTTGGTAAAGGTATCCCTTCTAACTCCCTACCACGAAAGGTGGAAATCAATCCCCAAAGACAACTGCAGATGCATATTAGCTTGGAGAGGGCACCAGAGGAATCCACCTAACAAACCTTCCTAACTGCCCTTATCTTTCTTTCTTTTCTTTTCTTTTTTTTGAGTTGGAGTCATACTCTGTCACCCAGGTTGGAGTGCAGTGACACACTCATGGCCACCCCAGCATCGACCTGCTGGGTTCCAGTGATCCTTCTGCTTCAGCCTTCCAAGTAGCCAGAACTATAAGCATGTGGCTAATTTTTGATTTACTGTAGAGACGAGGTCTCACCATGTTGTCCATGTTGGTCTTGCACCTGTGGGCTCAGGCAATCCATTCACCTTGGCCTTCCAAAGCTGGGAATACAATCTGAGTCACCACGTCTGGCCTGCCCTTATATTTCATTCGTTCCCCCACATATTTCTTCTCACAATTTGCCACCCTAGAAATCAAGGTCCTTTTCCTCTGTCTTGTCCCTTCTCTAGGAATATATACTGGATTTTGTGCAGACGCCATGTAAGTTTAAGTTCTAACCATCCCTTAGAGTGACTCACCCCTGAGTGCCCCCAAAGGTGCCTACGTGTAAATGACCCTCTCTTTGTTGTTTTTCTTGCAAATATGTCTTCTGTCAGGCTAATTCACAGAGCTCCAGCCAATGAGTCTAAGATCGAGAGAGAGAGAGAGAGAGAGAGAGAGAGAGAGAGAGAGAGAGAGAGAGAGAGAAAGTTCTTTTCCCTGGGAATTTGCAGTTCTAAACAAGACTAGGACTCTTAAAGGGTCAACTGTTTTAGGCATCAGAAAACAAAACGAACTTAGGATAATCTTTTTCCAGCCTGGAAGGCTCATCTCTAAGCATAGATGTGACTCAAATTTCTGTCCCAGCTCCATTCCAGCAGGTTCCATGAGTGACTACACATTAAAATAATCCAATCAAATTATATGTATATAATAAAATATGATATAATATAAATGTAGGGGTTTGTGTGTGTAGCCTGGGAATGGAAAATATGTATATACACACCCCTCTCCAAAAAACCATAATTATCTTTTGAAGGGCAGGCCCTTTGTATTACAGGCTTCCCCTGTTAGATGAGTGTTCTTGGAACCCATTGGCATCCGTGGACCAGCTATACCCACTAAACAATATCACCTCCTTTTCTATTTCCTCTCCCCCAGTCCCTGGTAGCCTCTATTCTACTTTATTTCTCTGAATTTGCCTCTTCTATGTACCTCATATAAGTGGCACTGTGTGATGTTTATCCTTTTTGTGTCTGGCTTATTTCACCTAGTGTCATGTTTCTATCAGCATTTCATTCATTTTGAAGGCTAAACAATATTCCATTGTATGCATATACCACAATTTTTTATCCATTCATCTGTGAAAGGATATTTGGGTGGTTTCTCCCTTTGGACTATTGTGAATAATGCTGCTATGGACATTAATGGGTCAGTATCTGAGTCCCTGCTTTCAATCCTTTGGGAATCTACAAGGGGGACCCTCCCCACAACCAGAATTATCATTTGGAGAGCGGGTCCCTTGAAGTACAGGCTTACCCTGCTAGGTAAGTGTTCTGGGAACCCATCCGTGGACCAGCTAGTGTTGTGAGAGGCTGTGTTCAGTGAATTTTTCTGGAGATTCTTTCAGTGTATTTGCCCAATTCATGATGGGTGATTTACCATCGCACCTACCCACACTGCACTGAGAGTTCAGCAGTTTTGGACCAAAAACGGCATGACCCCCATGCCCCTCCCTCCCTATTCACCTGATCTTACCTTGAGTGACTTTTTTTGTTTCCTTGGTTGAAAAAAGTTCTTAAAGTGAAACATTTTGTCCATATGGAAGAAGTGAAACAAAAAACAGCAGAAGAGCTAAAAGATATCAACATCGATGAGTTCACAAGTGGTTTTGAGCAGTGAAAACCATTTTGACAGGTATATTGTTTCAAACAGAGCAGTGTTAAGGGGACTGAAGTTCAAAGATTAAGAATAAATGCACAATTTTTATAAATAAACTCCAGGGTTTTTTTTGGGGGGGGTCCCCCTGGTATACCTAGAAACAGAATTGCTGAATCACATGGTAATTCTATATTTAGACTTTTCAGAAACTGCCATACTGTTTTCTATTTTCCATTCCCATCAACAATGCACTAAAGTTCCATTTTCTCCACATCTTTGCCAATGCTTGCTTTTCTTTTCTTTTCTTTCTTTCTTTCTTTTTTTTTTTTAAGTCAGAGTCTCATTCTGTTGCCCAGATTGGAGTGCAGTGGAACACTCACAGCCACCCCAGTGTCGACCTGCTGGGCTCAGGTGATCCTTCTACCATAGCCTTCTTAGTAGCTGGAACTACAGGCATGTGCCACCATGCCCAGCTAATTTTCTCATTCATTGTAGAGATGAGGTCTCGTCAAGTTACCCAGGCTGTTCTTGAACCTATGGGCTCAGGCAATCCCCTCACCTTGGCCTCCCAAAGTGCTGGGATTACACCCTTGAGCTGCGCCCAGTCTCATTTTTAAAAATAGTAGCTATCCTAAGGGGTAAATATTTGTAAAAAAGTAGAAAGCCATCACCTCTGCCTGGTTTGGGGGTAGAATCTTTATCACCCTAGAGTCTCTATAACTTTAATTTTTCCAAGAATTCCATCCCACATGGATCCTTCCTCCTTCATTTTACAAAGGAGAAAATAGAGGCTGACTTAGGTTAAGTAAATTCAGCCAAAACCCTGAGTGGCAGAAATCAGCAGGTGGAGTCTTGTATAATTCTCAAACCCATAAACTGAGTCCCACAGGGGAACTGATACCTGCCTTTACTGAGGAAAACTGGCAGAGCAGTGTTGTCAAAGTCAGCACTGTTCAGGCCACTTCCTGCCTTCCTCTGTTTCTCCCTGCCTCATCATTTCTCCCTCATGTCCACAGCTACTTTCATTTTTCTGGTTGTATCTGCCAATGGCTCTCCTAGAACTCTGGATGCCTGACCACATTTCTTTTGGGTCTTAAGACTTTGCCAGGCATGGTGGCTCATGCCTGCAAACCCAGCACTTTGGGTGGCTGAGGCCTGAGGATTGCCTGAGCCCAGGAGTTTGCGATCAGCCTGGGCAACTTGATGAGACCCTGTCTCTACCCTGTAATTCCAGCTACTTTGGAGGCTGAGATGGAAGGATCACCTGAGCTTAGGAGGTCGAGGCTGCGGTGAGCTGTGATTGTGCCACTGCATTCCAGCTTGGGTGACAGAGTGACCAAAAAATCCCAAAAAACATAGCCAGGTGCGGTAGCGCATGCCTGTAATCCCAGCACTTCGGGAGGCTGAAGTGGGAGGATTGCCTGAGCCAAGGAGTTTGAGACCAGCCTGGGCAACTTGGTGAGACCTTGTCTCTAACCTGGGGTTCCAGTTATTTGGGAGGCTGAGGAGGAAGGATTGCTTGAGCTCATGAGGTCAAGACTGTAGTAGCCGTGATTTCACCAGTATAACTGCACTCCAGCTTGGGTGACAGGGTGAGAACCTGACTCACCAAAAACAAAGAAACAAACAAACAAAGCAAAAACAAAAGAAAAAAAACCCGATTTTGTCAGTGTTCCCAGTCTCTCGGCTCTCAGATGCTCAGAGATGCAAGAAGAAGTGGGCACTGAGGACTTCACTTCAGGGACAGAAAAACTGACTTTTGGGGGCTGGCAAAGATTCCATCAGTGAGAGCCAGCAACATGCTCATTTTCACTTTTCATCTTTAATACAGGCCCCCCCTGAGCATGGTGAATTCAAGGACCTGCCAGTGTCACTGTAAGGAAGTCAGAGAAGGGAAACAATAGAAAAGAGAAAGGTGCATAATTAAAACACTCACTCCTGAAGAGAATCGGTTCTCCTGGCCCCCTCCTGTCAAGAACCTCCTCCAGGGCAGAAAGAGAAAGCCCTGGGCCTGCCCACCTCACCCTTATAGACTCTGGGAATCCAGCCCTGGTGTCTTCCCTTCCCATTGGCTGGGCCGCCTTACCACCATTACTGCCCTGCATCGCGCAGGGCTGAAAGTACTTAGCACCAGGCTCAGTGTGATGGGAGGTGAGACCTGGCTGCACAGCTGCTTCCGTTTGGTGAAGAAAGTGGTTCTCTGCCTCTCAGATCCAGGAGACATGCCTCAGGAAACCATGGGTTGAGGAGAGCGTCCAGACTCCTGGAGGGCTCACAACACACATCCAGCCCAAACGTGCTGCTCCTTGTCTGGAAATGTTTGGAGCAGCTCAGTGGGTGACCTTGTCTGCCTGTTTCTGTCTCCTTCTTGGGGGATAATTATATGGCATGAAAGGGCCAGCCTACAAAAGGTGGTTCTCACAGTGTGCTCCCTGGGCCCCATGGCATCATACCAGGTGGGGACTTGTTAGAATT